GACAGTGGGGGGTGGGAAGGGGATGGTTTCAGGATGATTCAAGTGCATTACATTTATTGCACACTTTATTTCTATTATTATTACATTGTAACGTATAATGAAAAAATTATACAACTCACCATAGGTGGGGATCCCTGCTTTAACATATTTTGTAGTTCAGTTCTACTGGCAATGAATTTTCCCACCATTTTTTGTGTTAAAACATCATTATTTTGCCTGAATTTTTGAAATTTATTTTTGATGGGTACAGAATTCTAGGTTGATGGGTTGTTTTTTAATTTCTTTCAGCACTTCAAAGATGTCATTCCACTGTTTTCTAGTTTGTGTAGTTTCTATGAGATGTCTACAGTCATTCTTACCTTTGTACCTCTGTATGTAATACGATTTTCCCTTCCTCTGATTGCTTTCGAGATTTTTCTTTATCATTAGTTTCCAGAATTTTGATTGTGATGTTTCTCAGTATACTATTCTATATGGGGCTCATTGAGTTCCTTGGATCAGGGATCATAGTTTTCTCCAAATTTAGACATTTTCAACTATTATTTCTTCAAAAAATTATTTTTCTTCCTTCTGGAACTCCAATTATATGAGTGATAGACTACATGATTTTGTTTCACAGAAGTTCTATGTATAATTTCATCTTTTTTCTCTCTTTGCTTTATTTTATATATTTTCTATTGCTATGTCTTTTCCCCCTATATTGTTTAATCTTCTGTTAATCCATGTAGTGCATTTTTCAGATACAGTGTTATTTACTTATAGATTTTTAAAAATATACAGCTTCCAAATCTCTCATTAGGTTCATGTTTTCCTTTAAATACCTGGATATAGTTATAACAGGTGTTTTAACAACCTGATCTGTTAACTTCTTCATCTCTGTCATTTATTATCTGTTTCTATTGACAAAGTTTTCTCCTGGTTAAAGGTCACATTTTCCTGTTTGGGGGCCTATGGTAATTTTTTTATTGGATGGAGGACATTGTGAATTTCATGTTGATTATCTGAATTTTGTAGTCTTGAATTTTGGGCCTTGTTCTGGAAGGCAAGTGAAGTTACTTGCAGATCAGCTTGATCTTTTTGAGGGTTGTACTTAAGCTTTGCTGTTGTAGCCCCACTGCTTTCCAGGTTCTTTACTGAATGCCCCTGATGACCAAGGAGGCCTTTCCCCTCTTGCTGGTTGGATTTCAAACCTCTCCAACCCCTCTGAGAAACATTTATTTTACATCACTTTGGTCATTCTTTGCCTTAGGGTGTTTCACCCTATGAATGCACATCTCAGTATTCAGCAAAGTTTCAAAAAGACATGAACGAAGACTTATGGAGGTTTTGTTTGTTTTTGGTTTTGTTATTTTAATCTCCATAGTGTGCTCTTCTTTGGAACTCTTCCCTGAAACTTCCAGCTGCTTTAACCTCCCTCAACCTTGATCTCTCTCCCTTCAAAGTTGTCCACCAGACAACTGTGTTATGCATGGGATTCTCTTTCCTGCACTCCAGTTCAGAATGTACCTCCAGACAAAAAACTAGGGCAATTGTTTGTGTCCCCTCACGAATGGATCACAGTACTTCACTGACTTCTTCCTAATGTAAAAACATATCTTGCCCTGTTTTCTAGTTGTTTTTAGCAGGCGGGTTAGTCTGGCACTGTTACTCTATCATGGCCAGAGGTGAAAATTTTGAGGTTATTAAATGTTTAGGTAAAAGAGATTTACACTTCAGAGGACATGATGAAAAATAGTATTGTTCCTACAATGAAAATTTCATGAGAATTTTTCCACTAATAGCTGAATTTTATTCATTTTTCCTTAAGCTCTTAGAAAAAAATGTCAATATGAAAAAATGACTTATTTTACTAAAATAATTTCCGAAAAATTAATTGAAATAATGAGAAAATGCATACAAAAAGTGGTAAGTCAAATACATAATGAAACACCAAATAATATTATATATTCTATTCTGGATGACAAACATTGATCAATTGGTAATGACTGTGTCCTGCTCTTCTAATAGAAACTTATTAGCAATTTTTAACTTTTTTAGCCAACTGAAAACATCTGAGACTTATTCAACAAAGTAACAAGATTGGCGTTATTTTAACCTGTGTTGAACATTTACAATCAGTCATATGTGATCACAACTATTATGATGATTGGGACATAGGGCTGCATGCTCTTTACAAATAACTTTGCAGAATATGAGCCATACACAACCGATTTCCTTAATTTTGTTAGAGAAAAGGCTTCCCTCAGAGTACCTGAAGTGGTTAACTACTTTGATGTTTTGCGATAGTGAGTTTTACTTTCAGGTTCAACTGCTATATGGAGTATTTAAATATATGTGACAACTTGGACTTTTATTTGAAGAATCTAAATATAATGAAAGGATGTGTCCATTACAAAGGTGTTCAAGCCTTGCAACATATAAGATGTACAACATGATGTTTTGACATATTATATATTGGGAAATGATTATTCTCTTCCTATTAGTAAATTATTATTTTTGTTATGATGGGAAATTTTTTTGTTACCATTCACTTCCAAATGTCAGGACAATTTTTCTTGATTTTCTCACTCATCTCTATCACTTTGGTTTCATATTCCATTAATTTTTTATCTCGATTTTATCTCAGTGCTTTCATAAAATAAATTTAAAGATGACAAAAGAAAGTGCCTGCTATATACATTCACATCGGGAGTCTGTAATTTGTCACTTGTTTTATTGAAGTGTTCCAGATATCTTTTGAAACTGCAGTCAAAATGTGTTGAGTTTTACCGACTATTTAAATAAAGTTTTTACATTTCATTTGTGCTTGTGTTTCCCTTCTGAGTTGTCAAGAATATATTTTAGAGTTCTTAAAGTTATTTTTCACCTTCACAGTTCACTGGCTTCTTTTAGTTCTTTGAATGCACCACCTCAGGACCTTTGTATATGCTATACTCTGTGCCTAGGAGACATTCCACCATCCCACTACTCCATTAACAAATTATCTCCTAATCAAACTTCAGATTTTGCTGAAAGGTCATTTCCTCAAGGACCCTTAGCCTAGGCCAATCCTTCACCCCCTTAAATGCTCACTGTACCCTTTACTTCATAGCATGTCTATTCATAATCACATAGTTTTGTGACTACTAGATTATCCATTTCTCTATTAGACTGCAAATTCCATGAAAGAGGGACAGTGTCTCCTCAGCACTAGCATAGCATCTGGAACAAAGATGGCATCTAATTACACAATCTATGACCTCGCATAGTTTATAATCTAGCCTTGAACAACAAGAAGACACAATTTTACAATTTGAGGCATCACTGCAGATAGAACAGGTTATTTGTGTGTGTGTGCGTGTGTGTGCAAGGAAGTCTTCCTGGAAGTCTTGAAGCCTGATTACACAGGGTTAGTTATTCCACTGGCTCAAAAAATGAGCCAAAGGCTGTAACCCAGTATTCTGGCTGTCTGGGAACTGATTTGGCCATATTCTCAGCATAATTCTTTCTTGCAGAACTCTACTTCATTTTTTTAAAAGATTCTTTTTCCTTCTGTAGACTTACTTTTTTTTAAAAAATGTAATAATATTCTTTTGTGGTTCATAAGCGTGATGATTGGGTTTTCATGCTAATGTGTGAGATGTACCTCCCTCAAATCTCATTACTCAGCACATTAGCCATCGGATGTGGAAAAAAATGTAATATAATAAAGGCATTACTTCCTTTTGCATAAGTCCTATAGTTGCATACATGAGGTTTTAACAGTATTTCCATAATTATTTTTACCTTATAGTGCTTTCACGAGTTTTAAAAGATTTTTCCTGGCATACAGTCCAGCTTAGGCAAAATACTGTTACCAGCAAGGAGATACACTCTGTTGTACCACGTTGGGGATGACTAGACAGTTCACCTTGCTTGGGATATTTCTGTTTTTATAGACTTCAGCATGGGGGTAAAATACAGTTGTTCCAGAGTGACCACAGAAATATTTGGAACTCCTAATTTCATGGAATTTTTTCCCCTAAAGATTACTTAATAATGTGGTTGGATGACCATGTTGCAAGGTTTGTGTTCAATGTGCACATCCTCCAATATCTTCCCAGAGGGCTTTTAAAAAGTCACCAAGGAGGGTGGTGGCTCATGCCTGCAGTCCTAGCACTGTGGGAGGCCGAGGTGGGAGAATTGCTTGAGCTCAGAGGTTGGAAACCAGCCTAAGCAAGCGTGAGACCCCGTTTCTACTAAAAAAATAGAAAAAATTAGGCAGGTGTGGTGGCACCAGCCTCTAGTTCCAGCTACTGGGGAGGCCAAGGCAGGAGTATCACCTAGCTTGAGCCCAGGCTTTGAGGTTGCAGTGAGCTATGATGACGCCGACACGCGAGACTCTGTCTCAAAAAAAAAGAAAAAAAGGAAAAAAAAGTCACCAAGGAATATTAGGATAAAGCTGCCAGGATATCCTTAAATTGTTTGTTTGAAACCACGATGTCAGCTGAGGAAAGCAGAACATCATCAGGCTTTGGAGTTAAGGGGAGCTGACTCGAATCCAGCTCCAAATTTAATAGCTGGGCCACATGAGAATGTTAAGACCTACCTCACATCTCACAAGTTGTAGAGAAAACTAAAAACGATTAAACATAAGGGCCCTGACACTCTGGTTTCTCTTCAGACTGTATAAACATAAGAGCCCTGCATAAGTGCTCATTGATTCGGGGGTTAAATATTGTAGAAAACAAACTTTACCCATTAGCTGCTCTTAACATCTGGTAGGAACATTCCTCCTTTCTCTCTCTTAATCGGATAGTATGTGCCAAATGCCTCCTGCTTTTCATCTTCTCTTCCCCTCATTTTAATCTCTCCACCAAGCTCTCAGAAACAGGGCCTACCAGAACGCACCCCAGGCCTGCGCCAGGTCCCCGGAATTCTTCGACCCTTTTTGGCAAGTGCCCGGCGTTTCGCTCGCGGCTGCGCCAGTGGCCCCGCCCACGCCACCCGTCACGTGACCGCGCCGCGCGCTCCGCCCCCTGTCCCCGGCTCACGTGATCGCGCCTGGGGAGAAAACGCCTGACCCCAGCCCCCGGCCTTCACGGCACAGTCTTTTCCTGTGGCTTGTCGGCCTTTCAGCCACCAGCTACTTGCGCGTCCCTCCACCCCGCCCCGGGCCCCCCCGGAGCCCTGTCCGCCATGCGGCTCCTGCCTCTGGCCCCAGGTGGGCCTCGGCGGGGCAGGCCCCGCCACCTGCCCTTCTGCAGCCCAGCTCTGCTGCTGCTGCTGCTGCTGAGCGGCTGCCTGGGGGTCTCTCGGGTGGCGGCGGCCTCTCGCAGGCCCAATGTGGTGCTGCTTCTCACCGACGACCAGGACGAAGTGCTCGGCGGCATGGTAACTCCTCTCTTTCTGCCCCGCCCCTCCACCTCTCCTTTTGACTCCCCGGTTTCTTGCTCTCTTCTCCTGTCCCCACCCCTACTCCCCGAATTGGCTGCCTTGACCCTAGGTAGGTTTGGTTTTGCCCCTTGTGGCCGGTTACGCAGGTGTAAGGGACTGCAGGACTGTTTCTTCCTCTTAATTGATACACATGCACGCACCACACGAAGCTGATAGTCTGGACCCTACTGATGCGGAGTTCGCGTTCACATCTCAAGAGAAACATGTGGAGGCCGTTGGAGGATGGGTTGAACCAATGAGGAGCAGGTGCTGGCTAAGAGCAAGCGAGCCCTAATTGATTTTCTTTTGGATTAGTGGATCAGAGGACAAGTCCAGCCCCCTTTATGAGATACCTAGGCCACCTCTGCATTTGTGCCTCTGTACAATATCTGGGCCTGATATCTATAAAATAAGTGCCGAAATGAGCTAAATCCGGTAGGCAGGCTGTCGAACTGTTGAGGGTGCGTTTTGTTTTACTAGGCTCAAGAAATTCAATCAATCTAATTGAACACCTGGCTGTTGAATTAGATACTGTCAGCGTTTCATTTTATGTCTGATGGGTTGTTGTGATGAGACTCCATTCCTTCCCAGAACTAATTTGGTTTTTGTATTGTAGAATTCTGGAATTGATGACTTTTGGAAACATCTCTTCGACCCCTTCCTCACTGAGGCCCAAAAAGCCGCTTGCCCAAACAAGACACAGAAGTAGTTGAGGCAGAGTCAGGACAAAACCCTGATTAGCCCCCTGATCCTAGATCCAGCATTTTTCTCATCTTTTCAAAAACAAATTCTTCATTGCTTTCTTCCTTCCAGTTCTCTTTTTGCTTTCAGCTGAATTGCTGAGACTATGAAACACTCCAGACAAGAGGTTCCTCATTTTTCCTGTGTGGTAACTCCCTAGCTCAGTGTCCTTCAAACTGCTGGTCCCAACCCATGAATGAGTTGTGAAATCGGTTTAGTTAGTAGCTACCGTTTTTGCTTGGAATGTTTTGCAGCCCATGCTTTAGTGAAGAAAAGTGTATCCATCACACCACAATGATGTTTAAGTGAAATCAAGAAATAGATAAGGGCCGGGCGCGGTGGCTCACGCCTGTAATCGTAGCTCTCTGGGAGGCCGAGGTGGGCGGATTGTTTGAGCTCAGGAGTTTGAGACCAGCCT